TTGCGTACAATCTACTCGAACACACATATATTCGAGTAGATTGCATGCAATAGTAGTAGATTGCATACTCGATAGCACTCGAATAAATCACAATTTTGTCTGTGAGGAATGAGTCGTTGACATTTCGCCGGCTTCTCTACAGTTGAACGTTCGAACACCTCATTTATTAATAACATTTGCTAATTTTAATGCTATTGTCGGGAGAAATCGGCACTTTAAAAATCTTGATTTAGTTTGTATTTGTTCAGAGTTGCGCTCTGCGTCAGCCGTCTCAGTTGGGGCTCGTGAAGCTGTAGTTCGTGCAGCCTGGAGATGGTATGATCCCGGATCTCCCGCCACGCTATTTTTTTATTATTTCTAATATAAATCATGATTTAGTTGAACAAATCATGATTTAGTTTATTTTGTTCTCAATGATAACAACTCTATCGCGATACGTCGAACCCATTTGTTTGATTATTTTTACACTTTTGGTAGAAATATTCCTGTTAAAAAGGGAAAATGGGAAGGAATTTGTGGTGAAGAGCAGGTGAACTGGCAGATGGTTCGTGACGCGCAGCCCTGAGACCAGCTGTGCACCTCAGGTGGCGACTCCATTAATTCTTTTGTTCTAGCAGCGCGGGATGACATTCTGCTCACGCCTGTCGCGTGCCGCGTGATCTTGGCATGTCTCAAGGCCTGTCATGTGCCATATAGTGACACATGGTGACATATAGTGACATATGGTTAAAGATAATGCCACTTACTGACACACAGTGCCCTCTGGTAGTGCCAACCCGTGACACATTATGCCATATTGTGACTTGCGATTAGCCGCACATAGTTACATGATGCCTCATGGCACCACATGTTGCCCCATGGCACCACATGGTGCCCCACGGTACCACATGGTATCCCATGGCACCACATGTTGTCCCATGGTACCAGTACCATATGGTGACCCATGGCACCACATGGTGATCCATGTTACCACATGGTGCAACATGATGCCACATAATCGCCAAGAATATAAGCGTGAGTTAGCAAACGTAGCGCGTCTTCGCATTCCAACGGTGACTTGGTTCTAGTCATCCATAATGCAGGAATGGGGCTCAAAACCCCCGTTCTGTGTTCAATTTATTTGGGGTTCAATGAAGTTGGTGATTCAATTCAGATTTGTTCCAATTCAGCTGTTTACAATTTATTTGAGATTCAACTTTGTTAGATGTTTAATTCACTGATGTTCAATTCACTGTTAAGCTTCAAGCCCTTACAAAACTTTAATTCCCCGTTGCTGTTAGATTTATAATTTAAACACTTTGTTTGCGGACCTTTTCTTACAGTTTACAGCACACACGCCGATTTTTACAGTGTCAGTTTCCGTACCCACGAAGTAATAGAAGATAAAAAGGGACAAAATGTTGGTGCCGATTTCTAATTATATATTTCATATGAATATTTGTGAACTACTCGGTTTCGAATGGCTTCCTTAGCGTGAAAACAGCATGGCATAGTGCAGGGCTGTCCTTTCTTCAGTCGCTGCAGTATACTTCATGACAAAAATACTTATGCCTCGGCTATTTTAAAGCTCGCACCGTGTACAGTTATTGAAGTGACAGGACTGCCGTTTGCTCTGTTTACGGCTGTTAGTCACCAACGTCGCTCTGTTTGTTTATCTTGCCGCTCTTGAAATTGCATTCATGCCAAAACCTGCACAGGCGCTCCCGTGACTCCTCGGACACATCGGTGTGCGTCGCCCCCGTGACTCCTCGGACACATCGGTGTGCGTCGCCCCCGTGACTCCTCGGACATATCGGTGTGCGTCGCCCCCGTGACTCCTCGGACACCTCGGTGTGTGTCGCACCCGTAAGTCCTCGTACACGTCGGTGTGTGTCGCACCCGTGACTCCTCGGATACATCGGTGTGCCGCGCACCCGTGACTCCTCGGACACATCGGTGTGCGTCGCTCCCGTGACTCCTCGGACACATCGGTGTGCGTCGCCCCCGTGACTCCTCGGGCTCATCGGCGTGCGTTGCCCCCGTGACTCCTCGGATACATCGGTGTGCCGCGCTCCCGTGACTCCTCGGACACACCGGTGTGTGTCGCCCCCGTGACTCCTCGGGAATATACCCCTATACTGCAACGATACAATATATTGAATATTGACAGAGATGACGTTTGACCGAACGAACGTTCTTGCCTGCCATGTACGAAGCCTCGGGTGCGGCAGTTTGGGTCTCGCTGGCGTCGTGCGGTGCGTCAGGTGTTGCAGTTTGGGTCTCGCTGGCGTCGTGCGGGGCGTCGGCTGCGGCAGTTTGGGTCTCGCTGGCGTCGTGCAGTGCGTCAGGTGTTGCAGTTTGGGTCTCGCTGGCGTCGTGCAGTGCGTCATGTGTTGCAGTTTGGGTCTCGCTGGCGTCGTGCGGTGCGTCGGCTGCGGCAGTTTGGGTCTCGCTGGCGTCGTGCGGTGCGCCGGCTGCGGAGTTTGAAGTCGCGCGATCTTTACGATCTTGTTGTTTCGGGGTTGACGCGTCTTGCTATCTTAAGGTAATTTTACGATGGTGCCTATAATTAAACGGGTGGATATAGTTTAATTTTTCTATGTCTTCACGTCAAAATAACTATGCGTTTCTTAAGAAAATGCTCAATTAATGGAATTTTACAACTTTCTAATAAATCAGCCAATTAAGCCAAATCATTTTCATGCTCATCTTTCTGTCGTAAACTGCTGCTAAGTATTTAATATCAAAGTACGGAGTTATATTCTAAGTTATGGACCCAATTTAGGAAATTTGGATCCTTATAAGTATAAATTCAAAATGAATTATGCATCAATGGAATGAAAGAAATTCACTTTTTAGCATATTTTTAAAATGTTCAATGTGTCCTCTTTGTCCTCCCAGGAAGTGACAATCAGTCACTTCCTGAGCGTTGGGTAGGACGCATAGGATATGAAGATCTGGCTCTAAACTTCTGGCCACCGAGATCACCTGATCACACCCCACAGTGAGAGAAATGGGTGGGTCGGGATGACCCATTTTGATGATCTCAACCGCGTCCAAATACCGATGCAATTTTTCGACTCACTTGCCCCATTTGTGGGTCATGCTGACCTATTACTGGCCCTTTAAATTCCAGGTATGACTCACTTCAGGTATGAGGAAAAATACACCTGCCGTGCACCGGCCACATTAAGGCGTCTGTCGTGCAGTGGTCACGGTAAAGCACCAGCCGTGCAATGTTCACTATAAGGCGCCTGCCGTGCGATGTACTCTATAAGGCGCCTGCCGTGCGATGTTCACTGTAAGGCGCCTGCCGTGCAATGTTCACTATAAGGCGCCTGCCGTGCAATGTTCACTATAAGGCGCCTGCCGTGCAATGTTCACTATAAGGCGCCTGCCGTGCACTGGTCACGATAAGGAACCGTCCACGCGATAAGGCGCTGTCCTGAGGTCCCCGTAGCCTCAGAAGAAATTCATTATTCTCTAAGAATACATTGTTATCCAGCGCCAAAGCTAAAAGTTTTATGCTTCTATACAGATTTGTTAGACTTTGTCTTGGTATGTCAAAGCTATTGAAAAATCCTGAGGAAGTAGTCGCCACAACAACTGTCAACATACTCACGTGAAGGACGTGTTCGGAATAAACTTGTGGTGTGGGCATACAAAAATATCTCATGTTATGCCCCTGGAAAACCGTGCCTACTGTGTGGTGTGCGCTGTAGTGCCATGCCCAGTGTGTGGCGTGCACCGGCGCATCATGCCCAGTGTGTGGCATGCGTATATAGGTATAGGTTGAGTGCCACAGTTCAGCTGAAGTGCCTCCTGTACAGTGGCACGTTGTTGCTCTCAGAACACCGCATGGCCCAGGTGCCATGCTGTCGATTCTTCCTGTTCTTTTATTGATTTTACTTGTTTACCTTAGATAGCAATGTTAATTGTCAACATATCAGCTTTCGAAGTGACAACCTGGGGTTAAAATTTCAATTCTGAACGTCTTCTTTCCTGGTTTATTTAAACGTCAAATTTTTTATGACACTGCTTTTCGATGACCCCTGAGACCCAGAAAAATAATGTGTCATATTGTTCGAATATTAACACACTTTTATACCTTCATCATAAGCAGAGAGCAAACGTAGCATGGATTTGCCCTTCTACCGGGCCAAATTAGGTCAGGTTGACCCATTCAAAAGCAGAAACTGCATCGTTATTCAAAAAAAATCTCATCGTCCACTGTAACGTCGTGTTGCTCGTCGTCTTGCCTATACTTAGCACTTTTAATGCGATTTCATTTAATTGATGAACACCTCGTATAAAAATAATTGATTCGTTAAAAGGATATCGGAATTCAGGCGTGTTGAGTGTACTGAACCTAGCCTATCACTGAACCTAGTGGTAACCATTTACTGAACCTATATTGCCTATTAAATATTACTTCTGATTATCTGCACTGAAGATCTCGAAATTACTAATAATCCCAATTTTTTCTCTGTAAACAACAAAAAATTACCTCAGAGACAATAGACCGGAATGAATTTAATTATGATCTTTTGTGTAAAGAAGCTTACGCATTGAAGGAAACATATTTTTCCCCACAGGCACTCCTCTTGAATCATAATTATAGCTCGGTGACTCGAGAGCTTATCAAGTGTTCTGAATAAAGGTGATATAGTGATTATTCAATTTCCTCAACGTGAAAATTGCCGGAATTGTGCATCAGTAAACAGTGCTGCTTGATCGACGTACGACCGCTCATCCCTCGACTTCGCTTCTTCTAAACCCTTAATTCCTTCACATTTTCCTCACATATACATCACATTTTATCCCTCATTCCTCCACATTTCTCTCACATTTCCTCCACATTTTCCCCTAATACTTTCTAGACATTTCCTCTATATTTTCTTGATATTTCCTCTCCATCCTCTCACGCATTTTCTTCACATTTCTCGTCTCTTCTCTCTATTTAATCCCCTCGTAGCACTCCCCTCACTCCCCTCACCGCTCCCCTCACTCCCCTCCTTTCAACTCCCCTCACCGGTCCCCTCACCCAGCATGGACCGCACCCAGTACGGGCTGCGGCAGCCCTCGGACGCCTACCGGCCTTTCGACATCGCCTGCAAGACCAAACCTCTGCCAGGATGTGAGTCATCTCGACCCACTATAGCTTTCTCACGTTCAAATAACGTTCATTAAACGTTGTTTCAGTGACATAAGCTCATAATTAACGGGGTTCTAACGTCGTTTGCCTCAAAGGATGCTAATTCATCTCGTGTTTTATAACTAACATAAATATTGTGAGAATATATTATAGCGACCATAACTAAGCTCATATGCTTAGCATATGTATAAGCACATATGCTTATCATATATAAGCACATATGCTCTGCATATCTTAGCACATATGCTTAGCATATCAAAGCTCATATGCTTAGCATATATATAAACACATATGCTTAGCATATCTCACCACGTACGAGTATGCTTAGAATATCTCGCAGCTCATATGTTTAGCATGTCAAAGAACAAATGCTTAGCATATCTAAAAACATATGCTAAGCATATTAAAACTCATCTCTTGATTTACGTTCGTTGAGTTCACGTGTATCGTTTGCATAATTTTACTAATGTGGTTTATTTTCAATTTATTTAATTCATTTAATTAGTTCAAATATGTAATTTGCTTGATAAGTCACCCTCTCACCCTGCGTGCAACGTGTCCTGTTGTGACTTGACTTGACGGTGTACAATTTGATGGGAATTCAATACCTAACTTACAATGTTCGGATATAACAATTTTTTTAATATTCAGATCTAACTTTGCTGTAGATTTAGTATCGTTGGCGCTGCTATTTAACGACTCGGCGTCAAAAGAAAACTGCCATTTTATGGGTAACTTCTTTAAAGATCAACACTGTTCTGAAACCTTTCTCAAATTACATCGCTCAGCTGGTCTCTACCTTCTCAGCATCCTGTCCTGAGACACTCAAATATCAGTGCGTTTCTGTTAGAACTTACATTGATCATTATTTATGTGTAAAGTTTGCTAGGAAGTTGTGTTACAGTTGTGTTTATGAAATGCATTACACACGTGCTGTGATGACTTCAGTGGCATTGACGTTAGTCTCAGTCCAGGAGTAGCCAGAATGAACTCCAAGTCAGTATTCAATAATTTGATGATTACCGGCGTTTCTGTAACTGATTGTCAAACTGTAGCCTGTAATAGCTGTGTTTCTACTATTGTTTCTACTACTACATTTTGATTTCCTTAAAATATTTGAAAATTTTTCGATGCAATTTCCCTAAACTGTTATCAGTTTGTTATGACAATCTATTTTAATTCTTTTTTCATATATATAGTAAAATGAGATAATAAATTTTATGAAGAAACTTTGTTTCATAAATTTCTCTACTTGATTGTCTCGTCGCAATTATGAACTTCATAACAAAAGAATTACTTCGAAAAAGTTTTGCGTTTTTTAATGGATAGCTGATCTCTCTGGTTGAAACACTGGCCAACAGAGAAAATCATTTTGAAAATATATTCTTATGATTTGAAAAGCATTTTTATTTCGGATTTCGAAACTGGCTTTATTTTTTTCATCTACCACGTCTAGTTTAGTTACCTAAGGCTAATGGTTTCCAACCCGCAAAAATTATTGCAGAAGCATGTTTTCGATTTTTTATGACTTAATTTATTGTGGAATCGGTTGGCGAGAGGATAACTCAGTGACTTGATGGGGTAACTCGATGACTTATTTCTGAGACGTCTGTTTTTACGAGACATGTTAGGCTTTAGGTGAAATAGAATTTCTTCTTATTTCAAGATTATATCGCGGAAAAATCTTTCACTTTTCTCTTTGATATTTCGAACTAATAGTGTCGACATCGGTTATAGAAGTCGAAGACGACTTTTAAGTCGCCCCAGAGAACTCAAGCTTTCGCTTCGGTGCGAAGTTCCCAAGGACGCGACTATTGACACTTGTTACACGTAAACACAAACAGAGGCAGATATTGTTTACAATTATGATATCGTCGTCCTTCACTATGTCTGCATCATATCCAGGTCAACGTTTACGCAGTGAGGAATCATAGCCGGCGTATTGGCGGCAACCACGTGACCAAGAGTCGGCCACCGAAATATGGACGAAACAAGTGCACAAAACATTCAGAGTAATGAGTGGGACTTGGTCTTGGTAGCGATGCATTTAATTGCCCTGTGTGGGTCATCCTGACCCAGTTTAGCCTGGAAAAAGAGCGTATCAGTGCTACGTGCAGAAAAACGTGTCACTATCTATTCGGCCAATATCACCCAGTAAATTTTGTGAGTGATGACAGCCTCACGCAGCTGATTAGATTACATTGCCATGAGTTGCCTTCCTGACATCATCAGTTGATAAGTGGCTGGTGTGCTGGTGACAACGTAGCTGCAGGGTGTCCTCTTGTGTCTTGTTCATTATCGCGTTTATGGTAGAAAACTCGTCCCTAGTTTCTGGAATGTTCATGCGTGGCCTTAAAATATTTTGTCCCGCATAAGTCGAGTTCCTGCGTGTTTTAAAATATTTTGTCCCGTACAAGTCGAGTTCTTGTGTATTTTCTATATTTTGTCCCGCACAACTCGAGCCCTATATAGTTGTGCACCGTCAAACTAACTTTCTAAGATCATGCTTCATGCGTTCGTTTTTTTTGTTTCAATATTATGTGCAGTGCAATCGCTATTTTCGTTAACTGATATTTTACCACGCAAATGAAGCAAGACAAATGTGCCGGTTTAAGTAAAGCATAAGTTAAGAATCAGTTGTAAATTGTTAATCGAATGTGAAGGGGAAAGTTTTGTCCTGAGCTTTGTTTGTATTCATATATTCATATAATGAGGAACTCTTGCTCTTATTTCGTTTTTTTCGTATTGTTACCCCCTGTAGATATTGTAAAACCTCTTAAGACTGGCGTTTTAATCTTGCTACGACATGGAAACAACGCGTGTTTGGGTTTAGACTTCAGTTCTTTAATTCTTGCACCTTCGCAATTAAATTCCTAATATTCGACTTATATCCTGACGTGTTAACAATTTCTTTCCTCGGTTATTTCCGTGGCTGTTAATAATATTTCCAAGCGATTTAAATGTTATATTCCTCAGAAATTCTCTACATTTCCAAGCGATTTAAATGTTATATTCCTCAGAAATTCTCTCTGATTTGGAGTAATATTTAGAAGTGTTAAAAATTGCATACCTCATGGACTGCCGTGACTTGGACTAACATTTGTAATTTCTAAAGATTTCATTTCTCAAAAAAAATTTTTGCTTTGACTAATATTTTGAAGCATTATAGATAGCATTCTTTACAAAATAATCTGGTTCACCCCTATAATAACCTGGTTCACCTCTAATCCCGTGAAGTTGCAACTTTTCTCTGCAAGTCTCAACATTTCATCATGTCAGCGTCAGGCCTTGACGACTTAGGTTTGTAATGGGCCTTTATAGAACAAATTATTCTTCATTTTCTTTAAATAGCCTTTAATAGCCTGTCTACTTTAGGTTCATGATGAATAAGACATAGTGCTGTTAGCGTTGCTCTAAAGTGTGGAGATTGCCGGATGGCTTTCGACTAACGTCTTTAAATTATGAGGGGATTTCAATTTATAAATAAAAGTAAAAAAAACTGCTCCTTAGAATTGATAATTGTGGAATGTTCTATTCATAAGCTGGAATGAAATGGACTAACATGTTTCCCAACGTGTCTTAAGTTACAGATCGCTTCATTCGGCATAACTCCAAAATTTAATCATTTATATATAATGGCCGTACTATCGAAAATAGTTGCGAGTTCTTAACTCCGTCCACCAATCACTGGCGGCTTCTCAAACCAAACCAACCAATCACAGACGAGAAATCGCCCCCTAAGTGTACTTTAAGCAAGTTTTGATAATAAGGCCCTAGAAAACGTTAGCTTCCGACAGCCATTTCCTAGGAAATGTAATACTAGGATGATGGCTTTTACAGCGTACAACAAATTGGAAAAATTCGCTGCAATAATTTTTTGTTTAAATAATTATGAAATATTACTCATTAGTCAGAAAAAATATTCATGTGTTTTTGCACATGTATGTCTTGGTGAGAGTGTGTTGGCAGTTGATCGATGCAGGAGACTCGTGTAAGCATATGAGGCTTGTATGGGACTAAGATAACGTCGATAAGCGGTATCTCTGATACTCCAGAGCTTACTTAATTCATTGCATTGATCTATTAGGTAAAACAGGAATGTTTTTCCCAAGTCATTTTTTGAACATAGTGCGGGGCAGAGTGTAACCCTCTGATTATCTTCGCACGTCTACTATTAATAGTTTTCTTGAACAAGTTTGAGTATAAAGACCAGCGAATGGGTTCTATTTATGATATTAATTAAATTTGTTGAAGAGGACGAATCCTGTCATCGTATACTAATATTAACACTATGCATATTTCGCCGTTCAGTCTGGAACTGCATTTTGAATGAACAAGAAAGATAAATAAGAAAAGGGCGGACAACCTAGTGCTTTCTAGCACAGAACCGCGTTCTCGAATATTTTGGATCCCAGAGTCATTAATAAGCGGCCTAAAAGAGTCAGGTTAAGCGGCCTAAAAATTCATGTTCACGGAACATTTTGTGAATAAAATATCACAGGAATCGCTACTCAGCAGATGCTTTACCTATAACCCGTCCCTCAATAAAATATTTATAACGCGAACTGCAGTATATTCTTGGGGGTTCGATTAACATATAATAACTGAGAAACTTTTTGAATCTTGATAAGATATGGTTATTTAGTTTTGGTTGCGAAATTGATCGTTTTTATTGAGGGTCGGCGACATAGGTGCTGTGGCGACTTACGTACGTGGTATTGATTTTGGGTTATTTTATTGCTTTGCGCCTTAACCTAAGATCGTTGTACACGGAGAGAAAATTTACCTCTGTTTTGATACACTTGGCTATATGTATTACCGGTACTTTACACGTACAAGTTGTAGAGACACCTGCCATTGTAAACTTCGTCACCAAACATCCAAGCTAATTTGAAAGAAAAATTGAAATTATTTGTAGTTTTTGCATTTAATTTAATCTAGATAATATAATACATAATGTTATTTCATGACTAATGCTTCGAAGAGCTATTCATTTGTCTTGTGATGACATCAATAATGCCTATCCTTGAACGGCATCCGCATCCTGCCCTGTTATGAGCCGAGCTGCCACAAGCAACTCAATTCGACTGGCACTAATATTCATACATATCACTCAGATAATTAATGAGTTACATTTTTCAAAAAGTGCGTCGCTTTTTAGACTAAGTTCCACTCATTGAAGATCACAGCCACCTACTTGAGCGGCTCATTACGCATTTCCTAAACACGCCTACTCTTCAGCGCCGACATCACTCATGTTATGTTGTGTTATGTTATGTTATGTTATGTTATGTTATGTTATGTTATGTTATGTTATGTTATGTTATATATGTTATCGTAGTTCAAATGAGAAGTTGAAGTTTGCGTTGAATAAAGCTTGCGTTTGAGCTGACGTAAGAAGAGCACAGTAAATCTGTTGATTCGTTTGCATGGTCGAGCTTGCAGGTTTCCGGTGCGGAAATGACATAGTTTATTTCTCCTCCACAGACGCTCTACTGGCAGACCTGCAGTCAACTGTCCATGGCACGGCACACACGTCCTCTCATTCCCCTGGCCCTCCCCCTCTCTCCCCATCTTCCTACTCCCATCATCCATCCCCCTCCACCTACCAACAATCCTCCTCCAACCATCACCATAACTCCACCAGCCACCACCAATCCCCTTCCAGTCATGCCTCTCAGTCCCCCTCCTCCCGCCACCACCAATCCCCCTCTAGTCATCCCCACAATGGACGACTCGGCCCCGAGGTCCACGCCAACGGACACATGGAGTCCCATCTTCCCCAAAATAAGGTGGGAATATCAACCTTAACTATTATGGTTAGTCAATATCCCAACAAAAATCTGGTAACACGTAGGCTTCTGCGCAAGAGTCGCTACACTCGGCTTGGATTTATTCTGGGTCTGTTTGGCCACCTGATCGAAATCAGCTTCTGGTCAGAATCTCCATTGCGACTTCATAGTATCCCGAGAGTATGAAAAGGGTGGCCAAAGCAGAGTTATACCATATATTGAACGTATCACTATTAACTTCGACCTTCCCCAGAGCGCTTTACAATATTAAACGTGTAAACAAACGATAGTACTATTTTTTCTATTTCAAGTCATTTTATTATTCATTCAACTGATTTATGAAAATTGGTTATTATTCTTATTATATTATTAAAATTTGTTATTATTGTATTATTTTGCGCGCGCTCAAGCCACTGGGCCCATATTCTGCCAAATGTGATTACGATGTGGGGAGGGTGTCAGTATGCTTCTTACATCGCTGGTTGCCACTACTGTATCAACTGATATATAACAGATATATCTACGGATTGGCACGTATCACAGTTCCTAACGCTATTATATTACATGAGACGAACGAATAATACCATGATAATGTATTATAATATAATATCATGGTAATGCATTCGTCAGGATGCCAGGCGACCTCTGGACGTCGGTCACGTTTGCTCTGCCATTTGATCCTCGCCTTGCCGGAAGCGGCAGCGAATGCAGCACTTTTATCTGCACTGCCTGATAAGCTGTCTTAATTAGGACCTTTTGTAGTGCAATATCCACTGCTGCAAGGATCTTTGAGTTGATCTAATTAATATTAATCTAATTAGTTTAGTCAGGGTGATGGCAAAAGCACCCCCGCTCGTTGCCGACGCGACTTCATCTGCCACTCGGTACTGTGGCACCAGTTGCCACTCGGTACTGTGGCACCAGTTGCCACTCGGTACTGTGGCACCAAGTGCCACTCGGTACTGTGGCACCAGTCTCTTATACACATCTAGATGTGTATAAGAGACAGGAATGTGCTGATGTTGTTGTGAATGTGCTGATGTTGTTGTGAATGTGCTGATATTGTTGTGAATGTGCTGATGTTGTTGTGAATGTGCTGATGTTGTTCTGTATGTACTGATGTTGTTGTGACCCACATAAGTACAAAATAAAGACTATTTTCTCACATAAATGCAAAATATGAAGTACAAAATAAAGACTATTTTCTCACATAAATGCAAAATATGGAATAATTCTCTACCAATTCCAAAATAAGGTATAATTCCTCGCATAAGTACAAACTAAGCAATAATTCCTCACAGAAGTACAAGCTATAGAAGCAATAATTCCTCGCATAAATACAAAATAAGGAATAATTCCTCACAGTAGTACAAACTAAGGTATAATTCCTCACAGAAGTACACCCCTTGCCCCACAGTAGCACCCCGTGCCCCGCAGTAGCGCCCGTGACGGGTTTTTCTAGCCACAAATCAGGGGAAGTTTTTGCAGAGCCTGAGATGAAGCCCCGTGGCGGTGACGCAGCACAAATGTTGGCAGCCCGTGTGTGGTGTGAGGCAGCCCGTGTGTGGTGTGGGGCAGCCCGTGTGTGGTGTGGGGAGGGGGCCTGGTGGGGGTGAGGCTAATGGTGGTGATATAAAGTGTTGGTGATGCTGTGGTGGCAGTGAGGCATGGTGGGATAGTGAGTGCTGTGGTGCGTGGATTAGTTCACTGCATCCACAACACAGATTGCAGTGTGCATATTTTCAGTTTCTGTACAGTGCCAGTTTATCTGTACAGAACAGTTTCTTCATTGATATCTGTCAAGAAAGTACAATTAAAGGTTGTTGTTGTCATCCCACATAAACACATAATTACAACAACATGTACATTGATCACTAAATATTGATCAAATTTCTTGAACTATTTATACCTCAGTAGTTACTTAACGATCTACAGTTTTTGTACAGTTTTCGTACAGTCAATTATGACTTTGGTAAGAACACACAATGCACCATTGACCTGCGGCGCGTGAACATGACTCATCTAACTAATCTCGATATCTTTAATTCAATCCATATGCGTTGATTAAACCCACGTTATTTATATTGGTTATTCTCTAATCTCGTAATTGCTTAGCGCAGATCCAATTATCGTGTTCCTTACGATGTGATCGTTTATGATCATCACAAGCCCAATAAATCAATATTATTCATCACAGTGACCCCGAATATTATTAGCACTTGCACGAGTACAAGCGCTACTCAAGCTTCACAGCGCCAGCCTTGTTTACATTCAGTGCTCCGCGGGAGCTCGTCGTGAGTGGTGGTGTGCGCTCACTCGTCTAATGGTACTGTCGAGTCCACCCCCTTTTTAGGGTATCTAATTTTTTTTTCACGCCATACCTTACGAGGCAGAGACTGTTCATAACCCACAGATTGGGCCATTTGTTTTTTTTAGTTGCTAGCGCTAAAGCAGGAAGAAGTTCCTGATAAAATTCTATTTTTTTTTTTTTGGTAAGACGCGAGGGTTGGTTGAAACATTCGCCAGTTTCGTCACTAAACTCGGCGCATGACGTCATTTTTGTGCCGCTCGCCATAGCCTGACAGATGACATTTATTAGCATCATATTAGCGATAAATGACGCTGTAAAATATTGAATTGCGAGAAGCCAATTGCCTATTTATAATATGAATTCATTAAATCAAATACACAGAAAAAAAAACATTGTCTAAAGTCTAATTTGTTAAATCATTATTTGTGGAACAAAAGACGGCGAACAATTGAAAAATATTGAAAACATTTATGATAATCTAAAATATTATTCATTGGCTGCCAGTACTGAAGTAATTCATGGTTTGAGAAAAATTCTAATTTTAAATGGCAAAGGTCACACCAGAGAATATTTTAACCAAAATTATGAAGATGTTAACTGAGTTTTAATCGCTCTACGTCGGCCTAAAACATCCTTTACATTTATTCTACTCCCACACAAACAGATCAGTGTGTGAATTTGTGCTCTAAAACAGAGAAACAGAAGGAATTTCGTGTTAAGAAGTAACAGGTGTTCGCGTGACCTGAGATCTCCTGTTGAATTGCGATCAGCTGCTACGTAATGGCTGCCGTACAGGTGAGCGCTCTGTTGATAACAGGGGGAGTGTGTCAACAGGAGGAGTGTGTCAACTGGGGGAGTGTGTCAACAAGGGGAGTGTGTCAACAGGGGGAGTGTGTCAACAGGAGGAGTGTGTCAACAGGGGGAGTGTGTCAACAGGGGGAGTGTGTCAACAGGGGGAGTTGTGTCAACAGGGGGAGTGTGTCAACAGGGGGAGTGTGTCAACAGGGGGAGTGTGTCAACAGGGGGAGTGTGTCAACTGGGGGAGCTGTGTCAACAGGGGGACTGTGTCAACCTGTCTCTTATACACATCTAGATGTGTATAAGAGACAGGGTGATGCTTGCTCGTGGGCTTGAGTCGGTTGCGTGCGGTTAATAATGGTCGTTGCGCGTAGTTGACCAAGAGCTGGAGCAGCGCTGTCCGGATGCGCTCGGCGAGAGCTAATGACATAATTGGTTGTGCGCTCGGCGAGCGCAGTCTAATGACATAATAGGTTGTGCGCTCGCCGAGCGCAGTCTAATGACAATGGGTATGGGTATGGA